ATAAGTACTAAAAATATATTAACTTAGTCAATAAATAGTATAATCTCAAATAATAGTTTAATCTCTAATAAATATTAATTAATCAATAATTTATGACAAAAATACAATGAATATAATAAGTACAATAAATTAAATTTAAAAATTTAATAATAATAGTTTAATCTCCAATAATTATTGAAATTTTTTGTTAAATAGAAAAACAAAATAAATTTATACATAATTATTGAAAATACATCTATCAAGAAAACAATAAATAATTACTGAAATACAATAAATATTAATTTTAATATATATATTATATAATAAATACAGATTAAGAGTTTAAAATTATTATTAATAAATATTAATTTTTTCGAAAGTTATTTTCTCGAATCATAATTTATACTATTATTACATAATTTCATCATTAATTTTGTAATATATTAAATTATTATTAATTTGAATATTATGTTATAATTATTTTTCTACTTTGAAGATTTTTTTTTAAATTTATTACATAATTCCATTATTTTAACTATTTAAAATCTAGTTATGATAAATATTTAAAAAATCTATAAAATATTTAATTTTTTTTTGTTATTTGAATTTTATTTATTTAAAGATATTACATATTATTAAATATTTGAAAAACATTTAAATTGATACCTAGAAAAACATAATTTAAGTTGTTAGTATATAATTTTGTGATATATTTTGGAAAAATATAAAATTATTTTTTGTGTTTTCAATAAATATTTTAAAGTTATTATATAATTTTGTTAGAATATTTAAATAATTCTTAACTTTTTTAATCCAAACTTTCTTTAAATAGATATAGAGATAAAGTAGGGGAGAGGATAAATAGGAATTAGAGATAATTTAAGAGAGAAACTCTCTACTAAATTAAAGATAATTTTGGAGAAAGTTGGGGAGGTAGTTTAGGAAAAATTTTAGGAGAAGAGATTATTTAGGTTCTTGGAAAGTGCATCTCTTTGGTTGTTTCAAAAATGACATGGAATAAAAAAATAAAAAATTCAAAAAATGAGAAAATTTCTTGACCGCTTTGTTTTAATATATATATCGACATTCTTCTCCCAACTCTGTCGGGTTTGACTCTGACCCCACTCTATCACGACACAGTAACTTAGTTTGGGCTTTGGGGGAACAATGGGCTCGGAGTGGGGGGCTTTCAGGCCCTTCACCTTGGATTGGGGCTGGGATCTCAGCTTATCGTGGAAGTCCACTCACTAGTAACTAAGGGTGTCAACAAGACAAATTGGGTTGGACCAATCTAATCCAAAATATTTATTAAATTGGATTGGACCTAGTCTGTCCCTAATAAATTTATATTGGATTGGATTGGATTAAGCCAATATCTGATCCATTGATATAAGATAAGAATATAAATGTCAATGGACCGAGTTTGGGTTGAAACCAATCTAAATTAAAACGAATTTAAACAGATTGGATGATCCAAAGATTGAATTGGACCGGTCCAAAATATTCATTGGATTGGATTRGACCTGGTCCATTTGTAATGAAGTCACATTGGACTGGATCGGATTGAACCAAATCGAGTCCAACTGACACCCGTACTAGTAACACATTGTTTCTCTATTTTTAACATTCACTGTGTTTGTATTACATAATTGGCCTTCCAGTGTCTTACTGGAAGATACGAATGGCAATAGGGTGGAGCAGGGGGCCGGGGAACCACTTCCATGATCCCATCCACACCAATGGGGACGGGAATTTCTCCATTTCCATGTCTTCCGGGCTATCCATTTCAAATAAAATAGTTATATATACTTTATAATCCCATCAAAATAGATTCAAATACATTCAAACATATTCTACCATATTTTTAAAACATATCAATACAAGTTTATGAGAAAAATACAAATACTCAACATCAATCCCAAAATAACAAACACTATGCCAAATTAGTCCATAAGGAAATAGCTAAGTCTCAAGAAACATAAGACCACAACAATCTAGTTTATATTCCATATAACAAAAGCAAAAAAAAAAAAAAAAGAAACTTCAAAGTGATTTTTCTAAACTAGTATCCCTATGAGGTGGGCCCCACTAATGAGCAATGCATTAAAAGGCTTAAGCCTTGAGGTTTACGCCCTCCAACCTCAAGGCATGAGGGGTAAAAAGGTGTATGACTCAAGTATCAATGATTATTTAGCAATTTAATGCAAAAAATATATTTTATGCATTCTTAATTTCTTACAATTCAAAATACATGGAAGAAGCACTTCAATAATTATGATCCACATAAATAAAAATAGTAAAAATGAAAAACAAATTAGGGAAATTGAGTTCTATTAGTTTCTCTTATTGTTTTAAGAGAATTCAATGCAAAAAGGGCCAATCAAGTTCTTAGTTTCTCTTGAATATATCAAGTTAATTTTCTTTTAGTCCTAATGGATTTATTTTCTTTTTGCAAAGATCTAATTAGCTAAGCTTATTTTCTTTCTCTTAAATTATTGAATGACCATAAATCTAATATCCAATTATGTAGATGATTCTTCATATGTTTCATTTCTTTCTAAATAGGTCATTTTAATTATTTGAGAACTCTTTACATTTTGACACATAAAATGTGTTTATAATTGTTAGTTGATTCATTATTATTTTATTTGATGCTTAACGGTTGAACTTATTGCTTATAAACTTTTTATTTTATAAAATTTATACCTTATATCATTCTAACTTGGTATATTATATGTTATTTTTATCAATTTATAAACTTTAATTATTTTAATCTTAAACTTTGGGTCATTATGCCTCAACTATGCCTTTAACCTTCTAAAGTCTTGCCAATGAAGATGGAAACTAACTAAAACACTATAAATTTCAAATGAAATTATGATTCCTGATGTTCAAAAATCATGTTTCTCTAATTATAAACCACCAACCTAACTACATGGTATAGATTTAGCGGGTTCATCTCTCAGACCTTGTTCAAATGCCAAGGAGTCACCAGTTGTTCCACCAATCCAAAGGAACACTTTTAAAGTTCCTATTTGTTTATGCGAATCTCTAAGGCCATGCTCGACATTGATGACCATCAGGATAAATATTAATTAACTTTCTGGGTCTCCCAGTATGAGTGTTTCATTGGCTGATTATTGGTGAAGTCATTGTATGATGGGTAAAATACAAAAACCTCCCCTAAAGTTTCTGACAATCATAAAAACCTCCCATCTAGTTTAATTTTAACAAATACCTCTCCTGAACTTTTGAGAAATTTGACAAAAACCTCCCTTCTATCACTTTCTTAGATGAAAAAATGCACCAATTTCTTTTCAATACCCATTTTACCCTTTTATAAATTATTTTACATATAAAGTTACTGAAACAACCCTGTTTGTTTACTTGACAAAAATCTCCTTTTAACGATTCATCTTCTAATGTTTTTGTCGATCTAAAGCATGATTATTCAGTAATTTTGTATGTAAAATAATTTATAAAAGGGTAGAATGGGCGTTTGGAAGAAACTGCTACATCAGTTTAACATTTTCTGTCTGGAAAGATGACGGAAGGGAGGTTTTTGTATTTTACCCTTATATGATGATTTTAACGACATTATTCATCATAATCTTGGACCGGACAACTCTAGGTTCAACTCGTTTACACTCTCACCGAATCCTGAGAGGATAAATAAGCAATATAATGTGATAATCCTATATATGTTTGGTTTGGGAGAAAATTAAGAGAGAAATATAGGGAATTGAAGGAAGCTTCATAAAGAATTTCTGGAATTTATTAGGCAAGGGTACTACTCTTGTGTATTAATTAAGCGTTGTGGTTGTGCGGATGAGTCATGATATATAATATATATATATATATATTAGGTTTCTCCTTGTATATAATAAGTCGCTCATGATTCATGAACAATATTGTAAAATTAGACCTCGAATGCAAGATTATCGAAGAATTACGCACTGGTGGTTTCTCATCTCATGGCAGTGTTGGATTATGCTGTCTCTCTTGATGTTTTTCGTGTGGAAAGAAGTGCAGATGCGCTGGTGCAGGTATTCTAATATAACTGCAATTAAATTTCAATTTGAATGCATACAACTTAATGAACTATTTATTAAGAAAAATAACGTAGCTATAGCTAGAGATCGATCAGTCCCATATCTTGTGGGCTTAGCTAATAATATGGACGCGTACGTAAACGTAAAGAAATATTAAAAACGTAACAGTCTAACAGATATATGATAGATTGATGATGATGGAAGTTGATACACATATTAGAGCTGATAAAGGAAGCATTGGATAATCATGAAGACTTGAGATCGTGTATGTTTCTTTACTTTAAAGTGAAGCAGAATCTGTTTCGCTTTGTTTCCTGATGTTCTTGGGGCGCTACGGTAGTGTTTCCTTCCTCGAGATGTATATATGGGGCCTATAGTTAAGAAAACCTATTTATTGAACTCCCTTTAAGTAGGGAATCCTACACGTGGCTAATTAGTTTAATTGGACCTCAACTCAAGAGTCGTCTTGAGTTGCTCGCTCTCTCCTTCCCTACCCTCTCTTATTTTGCCATGTATGCAAAGTAATCCCAACTGAAAACAATCAATGAATTTGCTAATTATTAGGGGAGCTTCTTACGTAATCGGATTAATTAAGAAATCCTTTCCTCATTTGTTGTATTTGTTTCAACCGCAACAAAATTAGACCTTTGCACCAGCCAATTCACGCTTCCGTCCGGCCCCTTGTTTGTTATGCAAAACATGCGCCTTTACATAATATGAATTCTTGTTGCAACCGCAGCTTAATTTGTTGGTTATTGGTCCATTTTTTTCTTCTGAAAGGTCCTTATGGTTTCATTCAACCTGAAAAACAACTATTACTAATACATCTCTTCAATAATGATCAAAGACCCCAATGAAGAAATCTTGTCCCACGGATCAAAGGTTACAGCAAAGGGATGGACGATAAGGATGTAAGAAAAAACAAAAAAGAAAACTCAATGTATAATATATTATACATTTACAGATATATATATATATATATATATACTGCATAAAATTAAAGGAGTTGGGGAATTTAATTGGGTTGTCGATATTGTGACTGTAAGCGCCATCCAATATAAATAGAGCTAATCCACATGATCCCTACCTTATATACGGCTCACCACGATGAAATCCCTGCATATCAGTCTTTCCTTTTCCTTTCTTTAGGCAAAAGACTGATGAGCGTTTAGATTGTTTTTGGAATGCTATCTCTCCGGCTGTATAAGTGCGGATTCCGTTTCCAACCGACGACAATCTTATTCCCTGGGATTTTCCAACAAAAGCCCGACTACAGGCCGATTTTATTTTGGGCAGTGCAACAACCTTAACACTGCATGCTTTGTCCAGTTCTGGAATTGCATGCAGTTGGGAAGGTAGGTCAATTATGAACTCTCCGTATTCATCTGTTTTCCCTCGGGCCCAATATTTTGACATCTTTCTTCTGCTGGTTTTGCATGCAACGCCAATTACTGCACCTGCACATACAAGTTCATTTACAATTTTATTAGGAAAGTAAATGAAAGATGAATTTAATAAATAAACGTTTAGCATTAGTACGTGTACGTTGGTTTCTTGGAGGTTGCAAATTAAGAAGATCCCAAAGGTTGGGTAGTTAGGTTATCTAATTCATTTCTGGCTTGCACAGGCTCTTGCGTTGCGTGCTCAAATCATCTAAACTTGGGAGTCTTGGAGAGCAGAGAAAGACAGACCATGTTTTAAGCAAAGAGATACTATACCAAGTAAAGTTACATCTTCAGCTTCACACAGAAGAAGAAATACAAATGAATTCAATGTACAATGAGTTACTAGATGAATTCTGAATTGTGATTCCTTATGCGTTTAGTTGAACTCCATCGATTTCTCCAATAAATATGTGGATGGAAATTGAAATGACACAGAGATCATCTCAAGTGGTGGAGTGATTGATCATCAGACCAAAGAGGAGGAGGAGAAGGAGATAAGAATTGTATATCCAATATTTTGCACTCGACTTCTTATATTAATTCTTCCGCAGGAAGAGTTGTATAAACCTTTTCTACTATTCTTCTTCGTTAATTTCCACCTTCTTTACTACAAAAGCTTAACTAATAAAGGAAATTAACGCAATTCGTAAGTTCAAAATGGGAAAAAGAAAATTGAGAATCGGGCTTAATTACGGACCTGAGATGGGCCATTGACGAAGCTCAGGTTCCATTTCCCCATGCAAACAAGCCTCGCATAGAAGCGTGCCGGTCACTAGGACGGACGAGAGTTTCTCCAGCCCGTATCCGGCCAACTGTATCAGGTCTGTATGGGTGGATAGTTCGACCAACGGATTCTTTCGTCCGGCCACTGAAGCTTTGACACCCAACGAGAAAATCACGACGAGAAAGATGCCCCGAAACCCGGTCATTCTGTTCGTGTGCGCTTTCATCCACGCTCCAAGCGTAAATTTGCACCTAGTTTTGTAATCGGTGATGAGGGAGAGAGGAGTCGAGAAGAGGAGGCAGTATATAAATTGTTGGGCTCCGTTTTGATTTGTTTAGTGTTTTAAGGCAAATTGCTTCTATACAAATGCCATTCATTTGGATTTCAAATTACACAAACTACCTTAAACCTTGACTTGCAAAGTCAAATTTGGCTCAACGAACTCCAGTGCTTCAAAGTACCATATTGCCGCCTCTTTAAGTTTCGAGTATTTTAACATTTTTATTTAATGTTTGTCATCTCTTGATTCTTCTTCTTCGTTTGTGATTTGTTATTTTAATAAATGTGGTAATCAAATATTTAATTATAAATCGGGTAGAACAAGGTCTGTCAACATTAATTTAAGTAATCAGGATGCTTAATTAAAGCGGGACATCCGGGTTGGTATAGTCAAGCCGAGCTTGGTCGGTTTCCTTTGTTCGAGTCTTCGAGAGAAACAAAACCAGGAGAAATGCCAAATGGTGATAGAAGCAAGAAAAGTTAGGTCGGTGCAAATTTGGGTCGGTTTCAGGAATTCGAAGCAGTCTAACCACGAATTGACCTAAAGATTGTTGTCAGCACTCAGCACCACCTATGAACGTTTGTGCCAGTTAAAGCTCAGTTTCGAAGGAATACAAATCAAGGTTTAAAAATCGACCTCGGACTGGAATTGCTTTGTCCATCTGTTTTTGGGTCAATGGTTCAACCGTCCAATTTAATAGATGGTCTGTTCTAAATTAAAAAATAATTAAAATAAAAACAGCCAAAAAGCATTGTCCAAGTTGAACGGGTAGATGGTTCAACCATTGGGGTCATTGGATTGTTGACTAATTCAATAGTTTTTGGTCAAGAAAATTTGCTAGGCCAATTGGCTGAACAGTTGAACAGTTCCTAGGCCAAACGTCCGATCTCCTAGATCATCAGATTGTTGACCAATTCAACGAATTTTGCTAGGATTGGGTTAAGAGCGAAATGAAACCAGTTGTCTGGACAGTTTCTGGGCCAAATGGCCGATTGCCCGAATCATCAGATTGTTAACCGATCCAATGATTTTTGCCAAGAATTGGATTAAGAGTAAAATAGAATCATTTGCCTAGATAGTTCCATGCCGAACGGTCCGACCACCTGGATCAACAACTCGAAAATACTAATACAAATACAAATATATAGGATGCAAAACTTTGTACTTTGTATGCATTTGTATTGTACATAATTTATTTGTACTCTTTTCAAACTGAGATTAAGATAATGGACAGTTTTGACATGTAGTTCAATCAATTATTTTGGGATGGTCACTCTTTTTACCTCCGTCAATTTCTTAAAAACAATTTGTATTTGTAGGTCAGGTCTTATATATCTCTTCTTGTTATTATTTCTTTAAAATATAATGAAAGAGAAAGATTATGAGAGCTATCTTATTCTTATTATTGGTTTGCAAGAACTAATGTAAGGGTAACGTGGTAATATGTTATGCATGTAATGTATGCAATTAAAGGTAAAGATATAAATAAATAATATATTATTAAATCTAACTTTTATAAATTGTACTAAAATCAAGGTAAATATTTGCATTAAAACATGTATCACCTTCCAATCTCTAAAACTATGATCTTCTTGACCATCCCATCCCATTACAGTCTTTCTTTCGTTTTTTTTTTTTTATTTTTATTATTTTGTTCTTTTGAAGCAATACCTCCATTACATACAGTCTAATTCAAAACCAAGTTTCTCCAACCTCCAAAATATTAATTTACGAAAATAACGCCATATGCGGATATGCGGATACAGTCCTTTAGGCTCAGTTTGGAAAGATTGTATAAATGTAAATATGTACAATATAATACAAAATACAAGGCTTTTCACATATATGTTTGCAAGTAGCCTCAATTGCTACTTGCATGCTACCAGTTGCAGTTATAAAGCAAAAGTTTAGGCCTCATCTGGTATGTCTTTTTCGTACCGTCTATCAGTTATTTATAAGTTAGGCAGACCATGATTTAGTCTATTCCCATTTGGTTAGTCAAAGCGCTGAAAAAACACGAGAAGCCTAAAATGAATGATTTTCGAAAAACTCCAAATGAAATTTTTGCATTTTTTTTTCAATTCATCTTCATGCAAAAAGACACACCTTAAGATGAATTTCAAACTACTCATATCTTAATACAAAAACTCAATACGTATTTTAACCGTCAAAACTATCAAAAAATCTTCAAAAAGATTTATCAAATGACCCCTAAATTAATTCCATTTTATGAGGCAGAGGCACTACTTTTCCATCTTTGTTGCAACTGGCTGACATACGCCAATCCAATAAAGATGAACAAAGTTGTAATTATGTATTCTCTAAAGTCATTGCTAACTTTGGAAAATGAACACATCAACAACGGAGTTGGCCACTGGCCAGCCATAATCCATGGATATCGCAGTTCATGAGGGTGGCAACTGGCAACGTTGTGATTTAGTTTGAAACGAGGGGTATTTCTTCCCTCGTTTAGAACGGAAGTTGGGAATTTGAACTAAAGTACTGTAGCGTGTAGGTAGGCTGGCTGGTTGCCTAATCCTGTCGTCTACACAATTTTGATTTTTAAGCCCGAGTCCAAACCTCTTTGGCAAGTGGCAAGAAAGAAGGGCTCCTTTCCCTCCATTTTCAAGCCTTCCCCAACTATCTCCTCTCTCTTTACACTCTCTACAAGAAATATCCATCTTTTATCTTTATTTTACAACATCAGCTCTGCCAATTCATCTTTCTTTTTAATTTCTTATATTGTTCACCTAATCTCTTCTTCAATCTTCGTCAACCTATGAAAAAAATAATACTATTACAATACTGCAATGACACGTGTTTTGGAAATTATTTTATTTCACATCTATTTGATGGATAAAGGAGGGGTGGTACGTTCGCACCAAGGTTTTTAAAATCGAATCGGACAACGAACTGGTCAGGGGTCCAGTTCCTGGGTTGAATGGTTCGATCATTCAAATCAAACAGACGACTTGTTCTGATAAAAAATAAAAAAAAAATTAGAAAAAATAAAACCAGCCAAAACTATTAAACGGTTCAAATAATTTAATTGTCTGAATCAACGGTTTTCTGACCAAATCAATGGTTTTTGGCAAAATAACAGTTCTAAGATAAAACAAAATCAATCACTTGGCCGATTCCCAATTTTTCTGGTCCAACCGTCCAGTTTTGATAAATTACACGTACACATTCAACTTATTCAGATAATATCACTACCATGTCTACCTTTTCGGGATAGTGTAAAGTAGGGCTGCAGTTGAGCAGATTCCATATGACTAAAATACTTCCATATTTGAATTAGAGTTCAAGTTCGGCTCAAAAATTCCAGTTCGGATCTCCTACCCACATACATTACAGCCTTACGTTGGGAATATCTCCCATGAATGTGTAGCTGTATATGTGGGTGGTATTCTTGTGGATAGGAGATTTGGATTTAAAAAATTCAAATATATTGAACCAGAGTAACAAACTTTTGAGCTAAATATTTTATTGGATCGCAAAAAATTCAAATATGTGGGTGGAATTTTTGATCAAATTCGAATTAGAAAAACTAATCAAACTTATTCTAAGATTCAAACTCAATTAGCAATCAAGTCTAATTGAATTTTAACCCAAAACGTTCAATTAAAGCTTAACTGAATTGCACCTTAAGCATAAAGCACTGACATCGTATGTTTAATTTCATGAACTAGTTGGACCAGCCACTTGCAACCACGTCATATAAACAAAATTCTTGAAGACCATTCAAGCTGATCTTTAAGTAAACGATACAACCATTTTTCTTTTCATTTTCATAAAAACTAAGAAAGAGGAATAAAATGGAAGTCTTTCTTCTTGCCATCGTCCACCAACTCTACAATCCTCCCCTCGTCATCATTATCATCATCAAAACCTTCTCCCAAATATATGGGGTTGTTTACACCAATCCTGTTTCACCCTTCCATTCTATTTAAAACCACTAATAAGTGTTTACGTGCTTTAAATTTGATAATTTTTTATGATAGGGATGAGGTTCGGGCCTGGTCCAATACAAGGTTAAGCCCAATTTTATCAACCTGAGTTAGCTAAATTTGAGCTTAACCCAACACATGACTTTTTGGTTTTCATTGCTTAATCTTATTTTGGTTGCTCTTGAAGTTTGGAAAGAATACAAATACAAATATGTAGAGTACAAAACCTTATATTTTGTACTAGCGGGGACTCGTGCAATGCATGGGTTTTATTAAGTGAAAGCTAAACAATATAAATACATAAGAGTATATAATTATTTTATATTTTAACTTTTTAATAATCAATCAGATCAAACTCGACTTGAGTTAGTGGGTTTTCTAGTATTTTTTATCGGCTTTGGTTCAACAATTTTTCAACCTGACCAAGTTAGGTTAGTTTCGGTTTGGTCATTTGTAAACCAACTAAAATTGAATTGACCCGACCATATATATATATTAATATTTTATATTTTAAATATAATTTTTAATACAGGAAAGTGGAAAAATTCTCATATTTCTTAATTTAAAATATTTTATCTCTAAATTTATTTTTTTAATAATACCACTGTACTTTATTAAATTTAAATTTAATTTTTAAGTTTAAATATTTTAAACAAACAAAATAAACGAAAAACATACCCAAACCAATACAACCTGAGTTAACAAATTTATATACTGTACATATTTATATTATAATATTTAAACTATACATATTTATATTTATACTCTTTTCAAATTGAGCCTAACTTACATTATTAATACATTATTTTTGTAATAGGCATATTATCAAAATAGGAGTCTGAAGATTTGTCAAAGTGTAAGTGAGGACTGGGCCTGCATGTTTTGTTAACGGGTAAATTTCGTGTTTACCCTGATGGAAGCCCAGACCCGAATATTTGTCAGCCCTGCCAGGAAAATGAAAGGAGTGTGCAAACATTATTTTCCCCACCACCTAAGTAATTGAACGATGAACAAAATTAGATTAAACCCCCCAGCCAGCACTGACTGAGAGAGGGTGGGGACGGGA